TAAATTTTTGATTAATATACTGAAACAATTTAAATATTATTGTATTAAACTTTGTGTTACATATATATTGAAATAACTTCTAAATTATATATTTAAATATCTATAATATTCAGTTTATAAATTTAAAATCATTTATATTTCTTTCAATAATTTTTATTTAAATATAGTAGTAAATATTTAAACAAATAAAAAATAAAATTTCTAATTTAACAGCATTTGTGTGTTAAAACATTGTTAAATTTAACAGTGTTTGTATACACAAATGCTATTAAATTATAAAAATTAGTGACGTTTGTACATGCAAATGTTGATAAATTTAACGTCACTTTTACAAACCAATGTCGTTAAATTAATGATATTTTTATACATAAACACTGCTAAATTAGTGATATTTTTCTTTAAATGCCATTATTTTTCTCGATACAAGTATAATCAATATCTTTTGTGACATTTTTTTTTTTGCAAACTCTGTGAATTGTTTAATGTTATTTATAAATGCCACTATTTTCCTATTCCCTTGTAATTAAAGGATATATATGTGTGTATTATATATATATATATATATATTCATATCAACATTATCATAAAAACAATTATTAATCTTAACAATTTAAAGATTAATTATTGATTGTTTATCAAACAAGAAAGAAAGCGGTAGCAAAATTTTTAGTGTTTAGCAAATGAATTGAAAAAAATATTTTTTATGAAAAAAAGTATTTTTATAATTTTTGAAAATTTATAAAAATTTATACTTCTTTTAAAAGAACAGTATCATTTATAATATATTATGTGTAAATTGTCATTTAATTATAGCTTAACATTTATGAATATATGATTATATATTAGATCAATAAGAATTTATATTTTTTAATAAAAAATTAAAGTTAATTAAAAAATAAATTTAAAATTATGAAAAATTTAATAAAAAATCTCATGTACGAGTTAAAAAGCTAGTATATAACATATATTTTTTCAAATTCATATATGATTTTTGTTAAAATTTTAAATCATGTGTCATATTTAAAATTATCATATTTAATTTTTTCACTAAATTATGACCAAAAATAAATTAAAAACTCTTTGTAATACTGAAATTTAACACCAATTACTATTAGGACGAACCAATCCTGTATTGGTTTTTTGCGGAGCATTTCCCACTTGCAGTTCAACCGAAGAAAAGAGAAAAAATATCAAGAATGGCCATTTTCAATTTTGTCTGAAACTGTGTTATGCCCTTGTGATATAGTGCAAAGGCAAACCTTGAGGCTGAACCAAAACAAGCCAAAAATGTGTTCCGTCGGTGTCAACCTGATAAACTACAACAATATGAATTCAAAGACGGCAAACCATTTGGCCACCTTTATTTTGTCTTTATCATCATCAGTACTCATTTCTAAGTGTTTTTTTTCATTCCAATTTAGTGCTGAAAATGAAGTTTTGGACTTGAAGTCTGTAGGACATCCCAAAGTCTAAATACAACAATAAATGGTTTTTACAAGAAATGGTTTGTTGAACTTTTTTTTTTTTAAATCTTATCAAGTAAATATTGATTTTTTTTTTTTAAGTAGCAATTTGAGTATAGACAAATGGATTATAGGTGTTAAAATTTAAACTTTGTTGGACGTCGGCTCTTAAAAATAATTGCATAAATCAATTGAAAGTCTTAGATTCAAGTAAATATTGGTTCTACATATCTATATTACACAAAAATACAGAATGAATTTAATTTTGCACTTTTGTTGATAAAGAAATTTGAATAGATACCTTGTGGCATTTTAAGCATAAATGAGAGTAGCTTTGTAAAGGACTGCCCAAAGTTTGATAAGAAATTCATTAATCTCTCGGATGATGATCTCAAATCAGTATTCTCTTTCAATGATAAATGGGTTTCATATTAAATTATATCAATGTCATTATTCGAATAAAAGAAATGTTAATTACTAAATACAATAAATTTATCAAAATTAACACATTGTGGACTTGATTGAATAAGCATACTCAAATAACATGATATTTGTACTAAACTAATTTGACTCAAAAAATCAATAATTTAATCCTGATCTACTTCAAACTATATCAATTCAAAACAATATAAAATTGAATATGATGCACCTTCTACTTTTAGCAAAATATGAGCTAGTTTTCCCAAAAAAAAAAATTCAAAACCCAATTTTCAATTTAATTTAAATACATTAAAACATATAACAATTTGAATTTGTTTCACTTAAAACTTAAAATAATTGGTGCTTCAAACAATT